CCCCAAAACCCCAAAACCCCAAAACCCCAAATAATCTTTAGTTAAAAATCAAAATACATTGATAAATTAATAATTCCCAGTAAGATAAAATGGATCAACACAATAGTTTTGAATTCTTTGAAGATGAAGATGAAGATCATAGAATAGACTTGCTTGAAACACAGAAAAAAATATTCTAGTCAATTTTTAATTTGACTAGCAATGCCGATTTATCTGAGGATGATGAATTGGAAATTGAATTATCTAATGGTCTAAGAATGGACAAGAGGATCTTGACTTTCAAGGTGCTAGTTTTTGACAATATAGCATCTAACATACTCGCAAATATTATGAAGGTTGGAGCATTGAGAGATTGTAACATAACGCTGCACATGAGTATCAATAGTAAAAGAGAACAAATACCAGACATCCCAGCTATATATCTTATTTGTAAGAATCAATAGAGTTATTAATTAAATTAGATGAGCCTCAAGAAGCTATATTTAAAAAGATTGCTGAGGATAGCATTAATGGGATCTACGATTATTTCTTTGTCAATTTCATGAAGCCAATTTCGGCAGAGCTGCTTGATTAGTTCGCAATTGAGATGGTTAAAGCAAATACTGCTCATAAGATCTGTCAAGTCTAGTATAATTATTTAGGGTATTAGGCTTTATCTCAAAATTGTTTCACACTCCCTAATGGTAGAGATAATTTCAAAGGTATCTATACAGGAAAAGATAGCCTTTTTGAAGAAGCAATTAATCATTCAGCGTCTGGTCTTTTAAGCTTATTCAAAAGCATAGGAAAGATACCTATAGTTAGAGTGATTAATGGAGAAATTTCTGATAAGGTCTATAAAAGGCTTAACTTGATTTACTAATAGGCTGAGTCAGATGATAAAACTAAGACTGGAAATAAATAAGATAGACCATTGCTGATCATATTGGACAGAAACCTAGACTTGCACACTATGCTTTATCATTCATGGACATATATATCTCTTATTGAGGATATTTATGGAATTAAAAACAATCAATTCTAACATTATGACGAAACTACCAAGGCAATGCTAACTTATGATATCGATTTCTAAAGTGATGAGATCTTAAGGGAAAATGCATTTAAAGAATTTGGAGAGGCAGCACCAAATGTAGATAAAGCTTTAAATAGCTGGAAAGAAGAGTACGATTAGATAAGCAGGAAAACTAATCCAGGTCAAGTTCACGATATATCTTAAAACTTGACCTCAGCAATGGACCAAATTCCACAAATGACTGAGAGGAAAAAGAAGATTGATATGCATATAAATGTAGCTTCTAAAATTTTAGAAGACATTAAAAGACGTGGAATTGATAAGCTCCAAGATGTTGAGGATGAAATCATGACTAGCAAGTAAATGAGTAATGCGACTAAGAATATATTTATGGAATTTATGAGGAAAGACACTTAGAAACAAGATGAGTTTGAGGATAAAATGAGACTGCTCCTCATATACATTATATGCTCAAGTGATTTAACGGACATCAAATAAATACTAGACACCTTAAAGACCATTCATAATGATTAATTTGATGAAGAGTTTGTTCAGGGACTTCTTAAGAAGAGAAAAGACTTCGAAAACATCGTTGGATCAGGCTCACTTTAAAATCAGCAGCCAACTCAATCATTTATCTCTGGGTTAGCTAAATAAGTGACCAAAGGATCTAAAAGTCTGATATCAAATTTGGCAAACCTAATGGCAGAGCAAAAGAATTTGATTCACTACAACTTAGTCAAGAAAGTCATTCAAAACGTTTAATCAAAGACTGTGGTTCAGTCTGAATCTTACTATGATATAAAGACCGGTGAAAAATCTTAATAATTCAAGGCCCAACTCAAGAACGTAATTGTCTACGTAGTAGGTGGAGGATCATACTATGAGTATGAATGTATGAAAAGATTAGAAGATGAGACTAAGATCCAAATAATTTACGGAAGTGACTACATATTCTAGCCTTTAGAATTCTATCAAGAACTGCACAAACTAAGCAAATGAATTAACCAATATATATACTCTAATAAATAGCAATGCATTATATTTCTTGAATTGATCTATTTATAATGGGGTAATGGGGTTTTGGGGTTTTGGGTTTTGGGGTTTTGGGG